GTGCCGTTTGTTAGGCAGCATCATCTAACCTTGCAACAAGATAACGCGAGACAACACGTTGCAAGAGTCTGTAGAGACTTTCTTGCGACACAGAACATTGTTCCGATAGATTGGCCTCCATATAGCCCAGATTTGTCCCCAATCGAGCATTTGTGGGATGAACTAGACAGAAGAATTCGCAATCGCCGTAACCCCCCAAATACCCTCCCCCAGTTAGCAAATGCACTCGTCCAAGAATGGAATAACATTCCAATACGGACAGTCAATGCCCTGATAAACTCAATGCAACGAAGAATTAGAGATGCTATAGCTGTTCGAGGAGGACACACACGATATTTGGGCACGGTTTCAAAACTGCTGCCATTTCAACTTGGATTCACGTAGGGTACTACCAATCATGACCTTCTAGCGAAGTGACCTTTTCTTAAAAATCTCCAAACATTTAGAGGATGTTACATCAATATTCAATATTAACTATTACATATGAAATTTAGACATAATGCTCACAAGTATTATTTTATTAAACCTACAATTTGAAGTTGCGTTTCTTATTCGTTTCAGTATATATTGTATACCCTAAACACAGAAAAAAATAAGTAAACCTTTCCATGTACACTACAAACTCAGTATACAGTGATCCTTTCTACACAAACTTGGTATAACTAGTGAATCTTTCTACTCAAGTAAATTGAAGATTGTATAGAAATTTACTACAAATGCAGTATACAATGATCTTTTCCACATTTTTTTAGTTTCCGCCATTTGTTGATTCTTCTTTTGTGATGGTAAATATATTGCCGCCTTTAGAGAGTACTGTGACCTTAAAAGGCAACATGCATGTTAGCATCTCCTCAAGTGATTAATCATCTTTAACATCTAATTGGAGGCCGGAAAGAAGGACGTTTTTCTCCACCATAAGGTCCTCAAATCCATTGTTGGTCACAATGGCCAATTCCAAGTTATAAGAATCAATAGAGATACCTTCTACCATTCCAGTTTTTATTTCTTCAGGGACATCCACCTGCTGAAAGAGAGTAAGGGAAATAAATAACTATATTTCTTTAATGCTATGATTATGTGCAAGAAATATACACTTCTGTATAAGCTTATAGTCTTGAACTTCCCAATAGGAGTCTATATTAAATATATTGTAATTAATTATTTTGACGTTCAGGACTGTCAAATTATTAAGCGATGGACAGCTTGCAAAATAATGATATCTTGACCATGGTCATACAGAGATTGAATCATAAAGTTAAATTTGTGTGATAAATCTGTGCAGTATGATAATTTATTTTGATGTTTGTATTTCAAAAATCATTTTGACTTGAAAAGTAATGTGTGATTTAATTAATTACATTGGACCGTCATGTAATGGCAATGCCATTTTCATAATGTAATTGTAATTTAATTAATTACATCATCATGTAATTGAACCCATGCCTGTTACAAACAGTAGCTGTCCTAACTGATCCTAAAATTAACTTTGGCTACGTCTATCACAAAATTAACTTTGGCGGTCTATTACAAATGCCACATTTAGCTACAGTAGAGGTATTTCAAAAATGTAAGTCATTGTAGCTGAAAAGACATAATTAATGGTTACTTAACCAGAACTACAGTTCTGAACAAACCACTACAAAGCCTGGTTAACTGTACTAAGAAAATGTCCTCTCAATTAATCAATTTCATTGATTATTGACATCTTATTGTTGTACATACGGTCACTTAAAAGTTTCAACTTGACTTTTAATAAGGCCCAAAGTGATAATACTGCAATGTCTTAATTAGCTCTCAAGGGGTATTGGTTAGACTATTTATCCCATTTCATTCCATTCACCATGGAAACAAAACTCTAAAACGCTAAAAGACAGTCGACAATGAATGACAAATATTGAGCCTAGGGCTGGGTAAAATTGATGAATCAAAAGTGTTGAACTGAAAGTGGACGCAGTTGAAATAATACTGAAATTTCTGAGATGAACAAATACAGTACATATATTAAAAGTTCAGGCATAATAAGAATTGTACCAATTACACTTTACACATTCACACTGGGACCTTACACTTTACACATTCACACTGGGACCTTACACTTTGCTAGGTTTATCCTAATCTTCATTAAAACACTTTCCGGGATTCAGATGTTAATTGACATCTTCATTATTCCCAATCTTCATATTGTAAATGTTCACATGCATCACTCTTCAACAGAATCAACGAGACATCATGTCAGAAAGACAAAAACTAATTTTAAGCTAAAACTATATATATTAACTTCACATGTAAACCTTACAATTGGCATAGCTGTAGAGTTCCCGTACGATTTAATACCCTGGACTTGGGGTACTTGTAAATTATCTCCGATCAGAAATTTGAAAGAGCTAGATCTACAATAGCACGGACAGTGACCGATATCTTAAATTAAAATCGATATATTACACAGATAGTTTCCTAGATCTATTCACGGTAGCGTAAGTAGTACAGTACAATATTACGGATAAGTTTTTTTCTGTTTAATTTCCGATCTGTTGGGCCACTGACAGAAGTGACTGCGATGAGACCATTATGAAACGATCATTCAAAAATAAATCCATTTCAAAATAATGAAATACTTTACGGAAGCAACAAAAATGTGCTAGATGCTTACATAACATTTTTCAAATGCATACTGCTTCAAAGGAAATGTCTTGAAAATATTTTGAAAAAAAAGTGCCATGGCGGCAGTGCCCAGCTTGCGCGTCGCCATCGAGCCTAAATTCAATACATGCGATGGCTCATTTCAAATGAATTGTTCCAAAAAATGCAATTGCTAGTTCAGTATCAGTATTGACTTTAAATTCAGCTTACACACACACATATATATAGTGATACTTACCTACATAAATTACCTGCCGTCTTCTTTCAGCCGCCGTCTTCTTTCAGGGTCCAGCAGCACTGAGCACCCTGGCTGTTTCCGTCAAAATTTTATGCTACTCTAAATCATTCTTATTTTAGTTTCATTTTTATTTTCAACTACATATTTCAGTATTTTAATAGTTTTCAATAGTATTAAACGGGAAGTAAATTTTCGAAAAAGAAAAAAAAAGAAAGTAATACAAATGTATATGACACCCACAATGCATCGCGCGGAAAAGAAAGTTAAGTCGCCATATTGGCATCGCATCGCAAAATTTACCACCATAAACGTGAGTCTTTGTCATTGTATTTACAAATTTCGATGTCTGATGATCATTATTACACAACACAAAACGTTTTCTTGATGTACAAGTAATGAAGAAAATGTCGATAAGGTTGTTTCATTTAATGACTAGCATCAGCAACTTTTAGGGGCGATAATCCATTGATTACAGTAATGTCCGGCAGATGGAGTAGGAGTAAACTTTCAAATTATGAACCAATGGAAACAAAGTACTGATACTCAGGGGCGACAGCAACATGCTGAAGAGCAATGAAAATGCTCTTAGCATAAAAATCCATCCAGTACTTTTCCAGAAATAGCGGTAACAAACTTTTACTTCCAAAATCCAAGATGGCCACCTGTCGGCCATCTTGAATGCGAATCAGTTCAGAAAAGGTACAATGCACAACTAGGGACTAAGGGGAAACTGCATATGAAATTTGAGAAAGATCCATCCAGTACTTTCCAAGAAATAGCAGTAACAAACTTTTACTTCCAAAATCCAAGATGGCTGCCTGTTGGCCATCTTGAATTCGAATCAGTCCAAAAAAGGTACAATGCACAACTAGGGACCAAGGGGAAACTGCATATGAAATTTGAGAAAAATCCATCCAATACTGTCGGCCATCTTGAATGCGAATCAGTTCAAAAAAGGTACAATGCACAACTAGGGACTAAGGGGAAACTGCATATGAAATTTGAGAAAGATCCATCCAGTACTTTTCCAGAAATAGCGGTAACAAACTTTTACTTCCAAAATCCAAGATGGCCACCTGTCGGCCATCTTGAATGCGAATCAGTTCAAAAAAGGTACAATGCACAACTAGGGACCAAGGGGAACCTGCATATGAAATTTGAAAAAGATCCATCCAGTACTTTTCCAGACACGGACGGACGGACGATGGACGGACCACGGACGCAGGGCGATTTGAATAACCCACCATCTATTAGATGGTGGGCTAAAAATCTATAAAATGAATTCTTAAAAGTACAGGGACTTAAGACTTATAAGTGAAATTGCTATATAAATCTAATGTTTGGATATATATTATTACTTCAGAAGAATATTTCATAAATATATATCAATACTATTAAGTGAGGATTATATGAGACAAAATATAGTTTAACAAGAGTACCAACATGTCATAAAGGGATCCACATTGTGTTATAAAAAAATACTACTTATATGTTCCAAACACATATATTCTACAGACCTTTCTTGTTCACTGACATATACAAGATGGGCACTAGATTTGAGATTGTGATCAAAAAACTATTTACCAGTTAATCTTTGATGTGGGGCCTAATAATGATATTAGTGTCCATTCAATAAAAGAGCAGTAAACATTTGGAGATAGCAGCTATTGTGGCCACCTAGAATATTGCATGTGTCTGTTTCTCTGTTGGTTCACCATTTAAACCAGTCCTTGTTTGATATAGCAGAATATCATATTATACATCTAGAGTCATTTAAGAATGGCCGACAGACCATGACCTTTACACTGAGGAAGATCTTATATACTTACTAACTACTAGAGAGATGTGAGATATCAACCAACAGTAGGATATAACTAGTATGGACTGTCTACTTAAGTTTCCATCTTTCTGAAACTAATTGGTCATCAAGAATGTTCTTTTCTAGGAATTAGCTATGACATTAATCAGTAGGTGTATTCTTTATCAAGAATGGAACTACCTACCAGTCTTTATATATTTAAGAAATTAGTATATACAAAACCAAGTCAAGAAAAAAAAACAATTTCTGTTGGGTTTTTTTAAAAATCTGAAACCAAATTATATTCTGTATTTAAAAAAAATGTCAAACCTCTTCTAGAATCTGTAAGGCATCCTCTTCAGCTTCACGACAATGTATCACCAGGGGTTTGTTCAACTCAAGGGCCAGTTGGATTTGCTTGATGAACACAACCTTCTGGGAGGCTTTATGTTGTTTAAATCTAAAGTAAACAAAATATGTAAACAATGATCTGTTACATTGACTATACTGTATCAAATTCCTAATCTATAATGATAAGGGCAATCAGAGACAGGTTATGCTCCATGATTGGGACAAAATTAAAGTATGAAAAATAACAAAGGGCAATAAAAGAGTTATAATTCTTGTGCACAGCCCTTCCACTCATTGAGATCTATCTGCCAAGGTAGTTTCATGTTAATACCTCTTATAATTTTAGTGTAATGCTCCAGACAAAATTTTAAGTATGAAAAATAACAAAGGGCAGTAACTCCTAAATTATGCCAAAGAGATTGATAGTCCTGGTGCACTGCACTTCTCCTTGCCGAGATATATCTCCTTCTAAGGTTTTATGTTGATTCCTTTTATGGTTTTTGTGTTATGACAAAATAATGACAGATGGACTGATGGACAGACTTACAAAGCAGTGACTACATTTACAAGTATTCCCCATTTATTATCTCCTCTTTATGAAACTGATACAAATGTATCCTATACATCCACAAACACTGTACAGTATAATCAACAGACAGCTAAACAAAGTAATATACTTACATGCCAGAGTAGTCAAGACCTATCTCTCCTAAAGCCACTACCTTCTTGTGCTGTAGACAACGAACCAGTCCTGCTTCAGCCCGGGGTGAGAACTCTGTAGCATTCTTCGGGTGACAGCCAAATGCTAACCAGACATCCTCTTCAAGGGCAATTTCCTTCCACAGCCCTGATGAAAAAAACGTATTCCTTCATTCAGGGTCAATTCTCAAAACTGATCACAAGACCCATCTAGCACTTCCCCAGTTTGGGTGAAAATGAAAGTTTAGGTACAAACAATCATGGGCAAATTAATGAAAGTAAGCCAAAATTGGTTAACAATTGACTACACTTTTGTATATCATCACCAGTTACAAGATTTGTCACCATCATGAGACAGATGATCAGCGAAGTGTAATGTGTACTGAAGTATTCATTCTGGAGACAGGATGGTAATCAAGTCTTCTGGGCCCTTCCACAGTGTACGATAATCCTATGTACAATGATCTATTTTCATATAATCTGGTGCAGCATGGTTTTGTGAAGCATGGGGAAATTAAGCGGGGTCAAAATACCATAATGGTGAAATGAACTCCCCCGACCCCCCCAAACCCTATGGTAAAGTGAAGCTACACTTTATATTCTGCGGTTCACTTCACCATTGGCTTCACTTTATCATACTGCACCGCTATGAAAAACTGATATGCTATCTCCTTGTTCTGACAAAATATCAAATGCTAAACCAAACGATTAAGAAATATGCTAGCAATACCAAATTGATCCTCCATACCAACAGGTGAATTGTTAGCAAAATAATGTAAATTCTTCTTCAACTTCAGAGGTAACTGCTGAAGTTATTTAAGTAGAATACAGGCTACTTAAAAGTTATATCAAATTCACAATAATACATCAAAGAATTCCTTTGCTTTCAAATTATTCTGTATACAACATTCTAAGCAGCTTAAATACGTCAAGATTGTCTTTTTGTTGGCTTAAAATTTGATGGTTTTACCGAAACCTTAAAGCAAACAGGGAAGATTTTCTTTATAGGACCCCTTCTAATATAATGCCCTAAACACCACAGATAACCCTTACCTTCTTGTCTGAAGCTGCCAGGATGACAGAAGACTGCCACACATCCTTCAAAACTATGAGGCATGGTAGCCTCATGAACAATTTTGTACTTGGACCAGGTGCCTTTAAATCCTTGACGATTGAACAGGAAATCCAAGTGGCAGTGTGAGTCAACAAATGTACCACAGTAAGTCCTACATTTCTCCTTGAAGTTCACCTTCCAGTTGACCAGGGCGAAAGATGAGCTGCTCTCAGACTCGGAATTGCGGCCAAGTAGTCGAGTTCTCTCCAAAAACTGAATCCTAGGTGGTAGCACTAGACGTTTCGGTGATTTTACATCAGACTGGACATCGCAGAATTCATTTTCTTTGGTTGGATGTGATGCTGTAGGCGATTTCCCAGTTGACTTTTTGGTGGAGAGGGAATGTGAGGGCCGTGGGTAAGCACCACCATAGGAGCCAGTACTTGAGCTTCCTTGATACCAGTCTGGTGGGGAATAGTAGCAGCTTGGAGGGTACATACATGTGGGTTGGTGAAAGCCAAACAGGGGTGATGCAGGCATACTCATGGCATGGGGAGGGGATGCCCAGAATGGTGTCCAAGGGTAGGATCCTGGACTAGATGTATTAGGATTACTTGCTGGAGATGAAACTACTGTGTCACGATCATCTGACATTTCCTGTTTAAATGTTTTGTTTTCCTTTGCACTCTCAGAATAATCTGTTAAAGCTGCCTTTTGGCGTCGATGTGGTGGAACATATGCAGTAGCCTTTTTTTCATCATCATCATTGCTCGTACTTTGTTTATTGTTCAAAGAGTGCCTTATAAAATGATAGATGTTGCTTTGGGGCAAAACATGCCGCCTCTTGGATACAATACTGCAATCCTCCTCCTCATTTATTTCTTGCTCCTCCAGTTCCAGTTTCCTTTTTTCACTTGAGCAGTCACTGTCTTGAGATTGGTCATCTTTAACAAACAGAGCAATTCTGGACTTTGGTTGTTCGTTTTTCTTCTCCTCCTCTGAATCATCAGTTTCACTAAAGCCATAGTCTACAAGCTTGGGGCTGTTGAGCTGTAGATCTTGCATTTCATCTGAACTCAATTCTTCCTTAGTGCTAGTTAACCCTGTATCACTCTCTTCTTTCCCAGATTTAGTACTGTTTGGTTGAGCAAGATTTTTGGCCACAGAAGATGAATGCTCAGATGATTCACAACTGTAGTTAAATATTTCTTTCACAGCATTCTGCTCTACAATAGGCATATGATGGTATGGTGATGACGGTCTAAACTTTACTCCATATGGACTACAATGTCTCTCACAAGTAAACACCTGTTGTGACTGTAAGCCATAATCTGGACGGAAAGGGTAGGATCCTGGCATTTGCATCCTTGGATATGGTGTCTTGTTTGGAGGCATGTTGGCAGGGGAGGAAAAGATGCCCCTATTGCAGACAGTGGATGTTGGAGAAATACCCTGCTGCATCTGGTTCCACAACTCCTTACTAGGAGGAGGAGGAATAGATCTGTGTGGTCTCATGGCCAAAATCCCTCTCGGACGATACTGCATACGCAGTCCATTCTCAGTTGTGTCTGAAAAGACAGATAAATTTAAGACACTGTCATCATCATGATTGATATCTATAGATTTATAAGGAAATCACAGTAAAATCTTATTAATATTAAACTAATTATGTTTGTGAAACAATATTTTGTAATGGAAAAATATATGCCTTCATAATAAGTAAGAACTACCTTGTAATAGATTTGTATGTGTTCTAATATTATCATACAATGATACAGTCCCCTTATAAATAATAAGCACTGAATTTGATATTGATAATATGAAGATGTCAAGCTAAATGACAACTGATCATAACTCTGTAATAAACCGAGGAAAGCTTAAGAGGACAAGACAGCAGGTAAGATGATCTATGTTTGCCAGGTGTTACCTACACTGTAACATGAATCAAGCTTTAGAGGACAAGACAGTAGGTTAAATGGCCTATGTATTCCAGATTCTGCCTACACGGTGACATGAATCAAGCTTTAGAGGACAAGACAGTAGGTTAAATGGCCTATGTATTCCAGATTCTGCCTACACGGTGACATGAATCAAGCTTTAGAGGACAAGACAGTAGATGAAATGGCCTATGTATTCCAGATTCTGCCTACACGGTGACATGAATCAAGCTTTAGAGGACAAGACAGTAGATTAAATGGCCTATGTATTCCAGATTCTGCCTACACGGTGACATGAATCAAGCTTTAGAGGACAAGACAGTAGATGAAATGGCCTATGTATTCCAGATTCTGCCTACACGGTGACATGAATCAAGCTTTAGAGGACAAGACAGTAGATTAAATGGCCTATGTATTCCAGATTCTGCCTACACGGTGACATGAATCAAGCTTTAGAGGACAAGACAGTAGGTTAAATGGCCTATGTATTCCAGATTCTGCCTACACGGTGACATGAATCATGCTTTAGAGGACAAGACAGTAGATTAAATGGCCTATGTATTCCAGATTCTGCCTACACGGTGACATGAATCAAGCTTTAGAGGACAAGACAGTAGGTTAAATGGCCTATGTATTCCAGATTCTGCCTACACGGTGACATGAATCAAGCTTTAGAGGACAAGACAGTAGGTTAAATGGCCTATGTATTCCAGATTCTGCCTACATGGTGACATGAATCATGCTTTAGAGGACAAGACAGTAGATTAAATGGCCTATGTATTCCAGATTCTGCCTACACTGTAACATGAATCAAGCTTTTGAGGACAAGATAGTTGGTTTAATTGCCTATGTAATCCAGATGCTGCCTACATTGTAACATAGCCCTTGCTCCTACTGTTTAGACTAGCTGTGAGGTCACTCTATACTAATGTATCAAGAAGCTGGGTGAAATCAGTAAATTTACAAATTCAATACAATTTTACACTGAATTTATTGGATTTTTCAGCAAAAAGTGAAAGAAACTAAGTTACATTATCAAAGAATGTATAGAAGAATTTCACAGAAATTTAGTGGTTCGCTAATTTTGTCCACGCATTTATCAGCCCATGAATACAATAAAGAAATTGTCATAAATTCAAGTCCCAGTGACTTTTACCTTTGTCCGCTATAGATTGAGAAGTGATGTTATCTGGGAAGTCGAGTGCTGAGCGAATATCACAGATGCGAGGTTCCCATCCCCACCGACAAAAACAGCATCTCCAAGTCCAGAACTGGATACTAGCTGGTGGACACACACACTCCTCTGTGCCATACCCTGGGGGCCTCTCATTCTTCCTCCTCCTCAGGTCTGGTCGATTTAAGGAATCATTTTCTGTAGCGCTGAAATCTTTCTCATCAGAATTTCTGGCATCAATGTATGAGGACACAGAAGTTTTAGATGTATTGGGAGAAGCTGGTTGATTGCCATACAGTTTCTCCATTTCTTTGTCTGTGGATGCCAGAGTGCAAGATTTTGAGTCTAATTCAACATCTTGAGCACAACATTCCTCCTGACTTAAAAATATGTAGGATTCCATGACATCATCACTGGTGCAGATGTCCTCAAACTCTGTTATACCTGGTGCTTCACTTGAACTGCAATCAGATTGTGGAATAATGGATCCTTCGTCTTCCTGGACGGTACCTTCACATGCAGACACGGCACAATCTGAAGACAGATTTGACTCAATCTTCATAGCATTTTTCACATCAATGTGAATCTCACACCACTCATTATTGAATTGCCTATCAGGTGACATCTTTTCTTTACTGTTTATCTCCAGAGTACCACCACTGATGATGTTTAAATCTAACAAAGTTGCATCCCATTCCTCTAGCTGATGCAGATCAGCTTCAGATGTTTCAGTTTGGTTACCACTGTTCATAACACGGGACTTTTCCAACTCCTGTCCACCAGGTACCACTTGTTCCATAGGTTGTGTGCTTTTGCAACTTTTCAGTATACTTTCAATATCCAGCAGATGTGAGTCCCAGTTTTCTTCAGATTCCTCTAAAAGCAGTTTCTGTTGTCTGATAGGATCTAACCAGGGACATTTCTTACGATTATTATTCCATCTGTCATCTGTCTTATTCAAATCACTCTGGGTGGCGTAACCAGAAATGAGCTTTGGTTGAGCAACAAACTCTTTATTCAGGTCCCTACTGCTATTTTCGGTGTAACCAGATGATTTTGGTTTGACTTTGAAATGATTCTTGTTAGTACTAACCCCTGATAATTTGTTCCGATCTTTCCAGTAATCACATTTTCCCATCACATTTTCTTGCTGATGGTCAGTAGGTTTATCACATTGTTCAGATGACCGATCACATACAGGGTTGAGACTATCACTCATCCTTGTCAAATGTTCTTTATTAATGGCAGATTTTCTTACACAGATATCTTGATAATTGGTATCTGATAATTGGTGATATGACTGACCACAATCTGTTTGTGTTTTGTTTATCTGACCTGCACCTAAACCACTAACTTTGGATTGTCCTGTATCATTTAGGATATGTTTTTTTGTTTCAATATCCTGGCCATCAGATATTGAAACTGTCTCCTCTAACATCTTGAGATTTCCATGCCTTGTTTTCTCTCTCCTGGTTTCTGATGAAAGCATGCCAATAGGTGTTTCTGAAACATCTTCAGTGGTATGTGTCCTTTTGTCATCAAAGTAGATCAGACTCTCATCAGGAGGTGTAGCTACTGATAACAGGTCCATATCCCAATTTTCATTTTCTAAAGTCTCAAAGTGTTTGGCACTATCTTCCCTCTCAAATTTCTGGTCAGCTTTTATAATTCCTCCAAATTTCTTCTGTGCTTTCTTACTCATGGATTCTTTGCTTAGTCTTGATTGTCCTGTGTCTGAAATACTCTGTTTCCTAGAGCTGTCTTCTGAACCTAAATTACCTTGGCTCTCTGACCTGCTTTGCCTTTTTTGTGTATCACAGGCAACTGATTTAGAACTATTGTTTGTTGGTTCAGAACTAACCACTTCATTAGACTGGTGAGTACATGTATATTGTAAACAATTATACTCCTTGATATCTGAGCAATTCTGATCTTGTGCCGAGTCCACCTGTCTTGTATGTTTAATTTTGTTGGGAGCTTTTGATATTATCTCCAACCTGTTCAAACCCTGTGATGAGTTCTTTCTGTGACTGCAGGAAGAGGAGTCCTTTACTTTTACAGACTCCATCCGTTTGTCCTGCCTTTTAGCTTCTACCTGGCTGTCCTGGGTTAAAGGTTCTGCTCTATTGAAACTTTCAGACAAGTGGTGTTGTCTTGAATGTTCTGTCCTGTTGTGATTTTGGAGTGAGTTTTTCTGTTTTACTGAAGCTGAACTGTTGTGAACCTTGTCATAGGTGTTTGGTCTTTTAGAATCTGGCTTGTGAGTATTGGGGTTATCTTGCTCTGACTGTTCTGAACTACTGTAACCTCTTAATGATTTACCCTGTCTTTCATAATATGACTTGTTGGGACCTCTAAGTACATTTTTTGTCTTAATTGGTTCTGTACTGTTGTGACCTCGGGAAAGGTTGTTCTGCCTAATATTCCATGAATTGCCAGAACATCTGTGACCGTTATAGGAGTTATGTTTCCTTAAATGTGCTGAATTGTTGTCGCCTTCTGAATTGTTTGATCCTTTAGGTTCTGAAATAGACAAGTTGTCCTGCATTGTTGGCTCTGAACTATTGTGATCTTGAGATGAGTTGTCTTTCCTGATATCTTCTGAACTATTGTGAGATGTAGACAAGTTGTCTTGCTTCAAAGGTTCTGAACAATTATGACCTTGGGGCAAGTTTTTCTGCATTCTTGTCCATGAACTATTATGACCTTGGGACGAGTTGTCCTGCTTTCTTGTCCCTGAACTATTGTGACCATGGGATGAGTTGTCCTGCTGCCTTGTCCCTAAACTATTATGACCTCGGGACGAGTTGTCCTGCTTTCTTGTCCCTGAACTATTGTGACCATGGGATGAGTTGTCCTGCTGCTTTGTCCCTAAACTATTATGACCTTGGGACGAGTTGTCCTGCTTTCGTGCCCCTGAACTATTATGACCTTGGGACCAGTTGTCTTGCTTTCTTGTCTCTGAACTGTTGCGACATTTAAATGAGTCAGATGTCATTTTATGTTTGGACTTGAAACCTCCAAAAGAGTTGTTTGGTACAATAGGTTCCGAACTCCTAGAGGAGACTTCCTGCTCCGACATGTCTTGACCTCGAGATGTCTGGTTCTGTTTTAAAGATTCTGCATTAGCATACTCTTTTGATTTTAGATCATCATCATTTTTCCATACAACAGACTCTGACGTGTCTGAATGGTGAGATTCTGAATAGCACTGATTTTTCAGATTCTTACTACATTGACCTTTATATTCTGAATTATCCTGACATTTGCATCCACCATCCTCAACTTCCACAGTTTCATTATCCTGTATCTCCATAGCTCCCTGTTCAGCTAATTCTGAAGCATTTTCATTGCGAGGTTCAATTTTGCAATGTTCCTTGTAACCAGTTTCAATACATATAGGAAATGTGTTTCTCTGGTCCTTTGATTCTGAAGTTTCTGGATTTCTTGATATCTGACAGAGATGATCCTGTGATTCTAACTTTTCCAGATGTCTAGGCTCTTGGATGACATGATCTTTGGATAATGAAATTTCTGGACAACTATGTTCAGCCCCAAGGTTATTCTTCAGTTTTGAATTTTCATGGTATCTCTGTGAAGAATTTCCATTTATTATTGGTACAGAGTCATGGGTCTGCTGAACTATTTTAGTGGCTTTGGACTTTCCATTTGAAACATTTTCAAGGTCTGAGCAATTCTGAAATCCAGAGGTTAAATTTCCATCTGTTGTAGACTGTGTATGGGAATAATATCTAGATTGTGGGCCTTCTTGAGAACCTGGCTTCATTGTATCATCTAAGGAATTGTTTAGAAATCTGGGTTCAGAACTAACTTGCGGTTTAATTGGGTGTACAAAGGTCTTATCTTTTCTTTTATCAGACCTGACATGCGAGACAAATATTCTTTTTGTTTGTCTTCTTGAACCTGAGCTTTCTTCTTCTGTGGATTCAGAATTGTTTCTTTTTCGATGTTCTGTATGTTTACATCCTGTGGATTCAGAATTGTTTCTTTTTCGATGTTCTGTATATTTACATCCTGTGGATTCAGAATTGTTTCTTTTTCGATGTTCTGTATGTTTACATCCTGTGGATTCAGAATTGTTTCTTTTTCGATGTTCTGTATGTTTACATCCTGTGGATTCTGAATATTTCAGACTTTTAGGCTTTGAACTAGTATGTGCAGTGATGGCTGGCTTAGCTTTTAAAGTATTCTGCTCTTTCTGCTCAGAGTTAACTTCACAAGCTGATTCGTTTGTCTTCTGAGTCTTCATCCGGCCCTGCTTCATCGCTCGTAGGCTGTCTCTGTACATGATAGGCTTGGCCATCAGAGTCCTTCCACTGTTATCAGATGGAGTCAACACCTTCGCCTTCATTTCCATTGTCATTGCTTCAATCTTAGTATCAATCATGCTGTCGTATGCAGATTTTATATTATCCCCACACTGCCTGCTGTTTCCCATATGAGATGGTGGAGACCCTTCTGGAGACCTTTGAATGGGGGATACAGTTAAGGTATGTCCTCTTGCCATGCTCTTATCATATCTGGACTTTCTCTTGGGTTTCTTTGGTCTTGGCCTTGTGTTCCTCGCTGTGTAAGAGCTGTCAGAACTTGCTGAGGAGTAATCTCGCCAAGGTGTGGACTTCATCACTGGTAAACTGGGTTTTAGAGTTGCTTTGTTTGTTTGCGAAGATGAATGTGATGTATTGCTGGAGTCAGAAAAGTGTCTGTGTCTACTATAGTAAACAGGAATATCACAGACAGGGACGCGCAGGGGAGGCATTTCTATTCTATATTCTTCTTGTCCCTTTCCTGCTTCAGTGCTCACATCTCCTACATCATCACAACTCATCATAGGCCCTTTTTGATCCTTTTTGTCCTCCCTACAGTCCTCAGTCACACTTCTATATCTTATAATTGGTTCTGATTTTTCTTCATTGTTTTCTTCATACTGTGGATCCTTTGAGGTAAGGCCATTGTCGTCAACACCCAAAACTACATTTTCAGTCGGTGCCACACCATTCTTCTCTGTTCTCACAAACATGGAATCTACAGTTTTTGATTTTTTTTTCATTTCACATTCCCCATCATCTTTAATCCCTATATTTTCATTTTCACAGCAAGACTTTATACATTGCTTTTTCATATCATAAACATTACATCCCAGGTACAAGTCACTTCCTGTTTCTAAATGATGTTTATTATCACAACCTATTACTTTTGAAACAATTTCTTTTTGGTCTAAATTTTGAACAGACACCTGTTGATCTTTCACACCATTTAAAATATCTCTTGCATAAGTTTGATCTCCAAACTGCCTATACTCCAAATTTTCCTTAGATATGTCCAAGGTTATTTCAAGAGTCTGTTTTTTGTCCAAAATTTTGTCATCAATATTAATACTCTCCTTGTCAGCACCTTTCTCGGTAATCACATCTGTGCTGAAAACTTTAATGGGTTCAAGTGGTTGATCATTCTTCCTATCTGAATTCACTCCATTTTTTGTTTTAGTTCTCTGTTTATTGGGATCTGTCCTACCATTTCCATCTCTATTATTGAGGTCAACATGGCTGCTGGTCTTCGATTCTTGCTGGTCCTTATGATTTCTGTCAGTGTCATCTTCCCATCTATTTTTAACATACTGGTTAGTCTCTATATGTCCAATGACTGTTTTTCCCTCATTACACTTTGGAAATGTGCTACATTTTTCAGTTTCACTTGAACCATCAAAGATTCCTTCCTTGACATCAACCTCCAAAAGATCAGAGCTCCAATCTTCCAAAACCAACTCCTCTACAACCCTCTCCTGTGAATTGTTTGAGTGTCTCCTTTGACTGTATCGTCTATGCCCCCGTTTTTGAATACAAGAGTTTCTATCTTGGCGACATCGATCAATCTTTCCATATGATTCTGCACATCTACTGGCCACTAAAATTTCACTTTTAATAGACACTTTTTCAGTTGCTGTATGAACTTGGACAGAATCAATATTCTTGTCTGTAACCTTACATGCAATATCTCCCTCAACTGGTACATTGTTAGGTATGATACACTTGTTGGTCTTGGCTTCTGGTACTCTTTGCCTTGCCGAGGGTCTGCTGCCATAGTTATTATTAATATTTTTCACTGGGCCAGTCTGTTTTGTCATCCCTATGCGTGATGTTGAATTAGAGCCACATTTGCCTTTGAAGTTATTTTCTGCACGAGTTGGTGACTTACAGTTGTTACATTCTGATGTCTTTGTTTCAGTTTTCTCCTCTGGATGTTTTCTTTGGTCTCTATTTACTTCACAAGAAGCTGATACATTAGTGGAGGATGGTGGTAGGTTTTCAACTGTTTGAGTCTCAGTTTTGTTACCATGCAGGTTCCTGAGGTCATTTTCTATGGAAATCGCAGAGACACTGGCTCTACTATTTGTACCTCCTGTCTCCTTTTTTGGATTTCTAGCCAATTTGTTCTCCTTCAGCTCATTCATTGACCTCATAAATATGCGGGCTAATCCGCCAGCTCTCCTGCCTGGCTCTCGCTTTGATCTTGCGGGCATGGCAAAGCTCATAATGACCTGCAACAAACATAGATAAACATATCAATTAGAATAAAGTTTTAAATATATTTCTTGATATAAATTTGAGTGTAAAATTTGGAGTTAGAATAATTCTTCAACATCTACAAGTTCATAATGATTGACAGGGCAACGTTTTGAAGGCCTTTTTGGATTTCTTTGGCTTAAAAGATCATAAACTCTGAGATACTGAACAAGGAATTCCAGAGAATTCTTGTGTATTGTAGTTGTATTGACAGTCAAGTCAATAGTAACTGATACACTGGACAGTATGATAAAAAAAAAACATGGAATCTAACCCTCTCCTAGTCACAACAGCAAGGATATGGATATATAAAACTGAAGTGAACTCTTAGAAAATTTCATACATCACAGGAATAATAATGAAACTTGAGGAAATCTCATTCCAAAAAGAAAATTCTTGAACTTAATGATGAATGATTTCAAGGCAATGCGGAAGATATACGTTGTAATTAGGGTAGGACATGGTTCAAAATTAGTCTTAAATGATGTTCAGACCTTCAAGAAGTAAAGAATTCACGAAATGAACTTTTTTCTGATGATAATTTTTTTTGAAAGCTTATATCTTAAAAAGCAGATAAGTGAAAAAAAAATTATTTTGCTGCACAACTTTCCGGTCGAGAGGTCAAAAAACAAGTGACAGGAAATAATTACTTATTTTTGCAGCAACCTTTTTAAAAATAAATTTTCATCTTTCATTACAACGTAAGGGTATGATATATGGACATTAAGGGAAAAAAACCATGTGCAAATGCTAAGTTGACATTTGTTTAATGAGCAACCAATTTGTTTTCAGGTCCTAAAAGTCAAAGAAAGTGGTCACAAAGTTGGAATTCACAAATCTGAAATAAGCGTTTTGTGGTGGTAATTCATGAAAAATTTATGTGAAATCTACCAAAGACTTCCAGAGACATACTCAATAAAAATACCTTAGCAATCAGAAATTGATGAAATTGTTGATGCCATTAAGTGAATCATGCCATCAACTATGCTGTTAAAGAAAGTCCGCGATATGTCTTACTTCTGGTCAAAACATCAGAAGAGTACATCCTTAAGATGTCTACCATTACAGCCATATTGAAAACTATCAGTTGGTTTATTTAAAAGAATGCTTGATGTAGTTGAGGGTCTGTTTAGACTTCCTTCATAATGGAAGAAATGTCTTTGAACCATCATCCATTCAAGCAATGGAATTTCATTGGTTCTTATACAACTCAACAGTACATGTACAGGTCTGCTCCCAATCTCTTTGAATTTATGTTCTATAGAGCTAGCAATAACAAGTAGCAAGTTTCATTAAGAGGTTGGTCTCAGTATTTATATAAGTTATCATCATCAGAGTCACATCTTGGATCTTGAGGGATTTGTGAGTTAACCATCAGAGTTTGGTTGATTTCCTTTAATTTAAAAATATCAAAATTATTTCAAAAACTGTCTTTGTATAAATACTTATGAATTAATGTATTTTAAAGTGTATTTCCAAGGTTATAATCATAATTTAAGAAATTTTTTGCCCTCATATCAAAATATTTCTTTTCATCCAGTTTTAAATTCACCCCATAAAAGTAAAATAACATATTTTAGCTTTGATTTAAAACCTTAACCAGTGTTTTATTTTCATCTTATTCACAAAAAAGCAAAGCAGATGAAAGTGGAACTGTAATTAGGCCTAAATCATTTCAACCTTTAGAAATGTGATGAAGCTGTCTTTTTTTCCTCCCATACAAAGTGTCGATATCTCAATTTGCTTGGGTTACAAGCAGTGGAAGATTTTACTAATTTTCAGATAAACAAGAGGCCCAATGGGCCTGTATTGCTCACCTGGTGTTCAATGATTTCAGAGAAAAAAACATTTATACATTTCACATCACCGGCTATCAAAAAAGGTTTACATCTAATTGATCTAAGCCAACTTCAAAGCCTAACAATGTTTATAACACACAAAGGTAAGCATTACTCATCCTTCTCTGGATGACCAATTCACCATGGAGAACATCCAACATACATAAATATTTGTAAATGCCTCTGGCTCCTTCCCAGGAACCTAACATTTAGGTAACAAAATTATAGGCTTCTTTGTTTTTGTTCTTTATCATAAAACATTCGAATATTTCTGCAAGAAATAGTTAAGTTCCTGTCAGCAATTTTCTATTTTTCTGATCAGTTCATATCTAAAGGACACAACTAATAATGAGAAATAAACTTTGGAAGTAAGTTCTTCCAACTTATATCAATCACTCTTGTTGGCCTGGATGGAAGTGCATGAGGGGTTCTTACTGTGAGAGGAAATCGGAGAACCCAGAGAAAACCCAGGCTGTTGGGCAGGTGACACTATACCTTTCCAGGTCCATTCAGGGAAGCAAGACCCAAGCAGCTAGGTGAAAGGCAAGTGTGTTACCATGGCGCCATCCGACTACCCATAACTAATGACCAAGGGGAACCAACAAATGAAATCTGAAGAGGAAGACCTATCTTGTACAGCCCAAGAAACAGTGAGGACAAACTTTCATACTATAAATTCACAAAAGCAATTTAGTTAGTACAGCCAGTCCCAAAATCAAGTAGAACCTATGTATGAAATTTGAAAAAGATCTATCTAGTTTCTCTCAAGAAATAGCAATATAAAATTTCCAAAGTCAAAATCCAATATGGCTAACTGTCATTTTGTTCTTTCTATCAAATCCTAAAAACAAAAAAGGTACAAGGGACAAATGGGAACCTAAATATTAAAAATTGAGAAAAAGTCATCTAGTACTTCCCAAATAAAGAGATAAGAATCTTTCAGAGTCAAAGTATAAAATGACTGCCTGCCATTTTGTTGTTTTGATCAGTCCCAAAATCAAAAGGGCACAAATGGGGACCTGCATACGAAATTTTGAAAAGATCAATTTAGTACTATTAGTTACATATAGATAACAATTTATAAATGTGAAAAAGACATGACCAGTTGGCCATTAAAAATGGACAAAGCACAACTATGGACCAAAGTAAACCTTCATAAGAAAATTGAAAATGATTCACTGAACACTTCTCCAGAAATAGTTATAACTAACCAACTGTTAGTGTCAAAATCCAAGATGACCAACTAAGAACCATTCTGCTCTTTGGATCCAAATCCAAGATCTAAAGGGCACAACTAGAAACCAAAGGCAACTCACATGCACATACAAAATTTGAAAAGGACTCATATCCAAAGCGGCCACCTCTTGGCCATTTTGTTTATATGATCAGTGTGATACTCTGGTAGCCATGTGGGGAAAAAAGTGAAATACACATCTATGTTAATAATACATTTAGTCAAATATTGAATATCAACAGTCATTGCATTTGACCAATAAATTAGGTTCAGACAAGGATTGTCTTAGCAAAATTTTGACCTATCAGAAACATCCGTTTTTGTTAACATGGCAGCAACATATCTAATTTTCAGTACAATTCACATATATACATACAGCATATGTGCCTTCCTTCATTTAGCTTATACTTACAAAATTTGAGAGAAATGAAATATGTTACCATCATAGTTCTGACATGAGATTTATTATCCTGACTATGGCATCCATCATACTGATTCTTGGTCAACCACATCACACTTATTTATCATCATTATTCATTTGTATTTCATTAATAATGATGTTGTTAAATAACATTCTGTCTGATTGAATGCTTGTAATGGCCTACCTGTAAAAGCTAGGTGCAGTAAATCGTATCACAAGTCAGCACTGCTTCACCCTGGTAACGTCCATTCTTCATCAAAATCAATTCATTAAAGCTTGTTTTTTTACCCAGGCATATCAACTCAAATCTATTTCCATAAAAGGTATCTACAGTAACAGGTGTATGTTATCAACAAATTTCCTCAGATTTTCAATTGTGTTGCATTTCTAGTCGTGATCTTTATTACTATATTCTGTGTTGAGTTTAGAACCCCTCAAACTTTACAAACTGAACAAGAAGACAATAGATGATTTGTCAATGAAGATTATGTAACGATGTGAACAGATATATATGAAACATCAATATCATTTATATAACAATATCCCTGTCATGTAGCCAAACAGAGTTACAATCAGTCTGTATCTTCAAGAGGAGTAGAATGTTATAGGAAGATTGACAATTTTAGGCCTGCCCCATGCTCCCATATCAACTTCACTGATACTGATTATATTTACCTTGCCCAATCTGATGTGATCTGACCAGTAGGAGAAGTAGGATTTCCCCTAAGTGTAGCAGTTTACAATAAAATACTAGCCACTTAGTCTCCTTTGAAGTCCTGTCCTGCAAACCCTTAATGGTTAACAAAAGTAGTATATTAAAGAAATTTTAATTCTCTTTTAAAATATTTAGAACCAACCTTGGCAGAAATCCACTAAGGCATTAGAAGACAAACTCATTTTCCCTCTTTGTAGATCAACCACCCACGGTCAAACCAACAGCATAAAGAAATGTTTGACCTCCCCTAAAGTTGTCCCTGACCAAATATGTGCAACACTAAGGTCACTTTTAAAACTTGATTTTTTTTCAACAAAAGTCATTTCACCTGGAAAAACTGGGAAACACTTCAATGTCTTAATGTCTTCCAAGAGGAAAGCAGCACCTAAAGTAAGGAAGGCTATGGGTTCTGTCTCCGGGCCAGGTGTTGTCTTTTTAATGTGACTGGGTTGTCATGGGTTGTCATGCTACCACTTTCAAGAATAATGCAATATAAGATATTAAAAGCCCGATAAAAGTTTAGCATTGATCTCAATTGGAGGTATATCCCCTTTACCATCTCTCAAAGCGAAAAAAATCCTTACTTTAACAATTTCCATTCTGTGCAAGTACACTAACGGGTTCAGTTCTGTTTTGTGAATAAATTATTTGGTTTTGTTTTTTTGCAAGTAAACTTCCGTAATTTCTAGGGATATAAGCCGCACTAGTGTATAACCTGTAGAGCCTTTTTTTTTTGATCCACATATCAGCTGTACCTGAAG